AAGAATAATTTTGTAAATTTCTTCATAAAAGACAGAACTAGCTTTTTCCATGTCTGAATAGGAGTCAGGTTTACAAGAACATGCAATTTTTATTGCTGTCATTAAAACCTTGTGACTCCAGATGTTTGCTATTTTTGCACCGTTTAAAAACGCTAGCTGCCCTTTACATTCTGTGAAGATCTCATGACAAATGGACCAGTAGAAATGCTCCGAAAATGTACTTTATTGTTATATTCATGTACATTACAGTTAAGGTTTTTTTTCCTTTTCCTGTAAAGCATTTTGGAGATATGATGTTTTGTTAGAACAGAGACGATTACGCAGCTTCATTTCACTTGAATAGATTGCCCTCTCTGGTACCTCCTGTTCTGTGTATATTGCTTAGGCATGTGTGAATATGTAGATAGAGTAATCCTGCGTGAGTGCTGAGGCAGCTAGATCCAACAGCTTCAATACTGCTGAGATATGAATGTGCCTGCTGGGAGATGAAGGGAATAAAACAATCTGGAGGGCCAGTGTGATGAGTGTTTCAGCTGGGTGGGATCTATAGTACCTCACAGTGGGAGAGAATGAGCAAGAAACAAGAGGGTGGAGGGTGGATGGGGGGGGGTGAAACCAAAGCAATGGAAATTGAGGTCTGACTGACTACAAGCAAAAGGGGAGAGAAAAGAGAAGCAGAAAGACAGTGAGGTGGGGCAGTAACAGTGAAGAAATGAGAGTCTGGAAAGAGACCAATGGAGAGAGAGATAGAGCATGAGAAAGAGGGAGGGGGAGAAGCAGGGAGGAAAAAAAATGAACATAAAGCATCTGCCAAGAAGAGTTCTAGTTGTGCTTGGGTGAAATTGCTCATTACAGGATATCCCCATGTCTGTGCTTTTGGAGCTGCAACAAGGGTGAACCAGCAAAACATGTTCGTCACAGAAAGCACTCTGCTCTCAATTAATGGGCCGGCTTTCCCTTTCCTCTCTTTCATGTGCACAAAGACACACAGAAACAAAATTCACACATACACGGTTCTTTTTATGCAATGTCAGGACTTACCAGGAACAGAACGTTTGAGCATATTAGTCCAGTCTTATTCACTTTACATTGGCTTCCAGTAAAGTTCTGCACTGACTAAACTCCTAGGGTCACATACAGCTGAGCTGATGGAAAATCCTTTTTTCATGTAGCTCCTAAACTCTGCAATAGCTGTGTTTTTAATTTGACCAGAACCTTGACTCTTTATATATATATATAATGTTAAGGGTTCATATATACATTACACATATATTCACTTTCATTTAAAAAACCTAAACACCAGCTGCCCTTTACATGGTGTGACCATTTTGCTAGCGCTGACATTGCAGAGCTTTTTTTGGACAATCACATACATGGAGTCACACAGTTCCTCAGTATCTTCTCATGGGAGCCCATAAACGTCACTATTAATTTGTTGTCTGAACTCAAGCTCAGCAGCAAAAGCCATAATCATAACAGAACTGAGTATTTCCATTAACAATTCTTCCTCCACTGGTGTGGCGCTTACACATCAGCCAAGAACACACAACACAACAGCCCACTTCTTACAACATATAACATCCTAACTCATCAATCACTGATCCCCGGGGCACTTCCTGTGCCGAGCGTCCAGTAACAACACGGACAATTATGAAATCAGCAGTTTCTTTGTAAAAAGTGCCTCACTACCTCACACTCATGGAATGAAATGACATTAAGAGACGAAGAAGTGCAGAAAACTCCAAATCTCATTTGCATGCGTTGTCAATCGTGTGTCAGTCTGCAAATCATTTTATGCATTAAGTGCTTGGAGCTTTTGCACGTACCAGCTTTGCTCCACATGAGGTTTGTGTTTCAGAGACAGCTGTGCTGCATTACAATGAGGTCATCAGATTATTCTCAGGGAGATGGTCTAGATTACATAAGCCCGCCTGCATAAACTTGTTGAGTTGTATTGTAGCTGAAGACTTTTGATCTGATTGCTATGGCAATTTTTTCATGCATCGTATTTCCTAGAAACAAAGTTGTCAGTGAACACTTACCCATTATTTGGTTCTTGCTGTTGTGTTTCAACACACCCATTAAAACATACAAGGGTTGGACATGATAGAAACACGTGATAATATACAGTAAGAAAAAGTTTGTGGATCCTTTGCAATGATCTGGATGTTTTAATGAATAGCCACTAAAATGTGGTCAGAGTGTAACTGTAATAATAAACAAGGCCAGTGTTACTTAAGAAAAACCCAGGCCCTTCTTGCTGTGAGGCGACAGCGCTACCCACTGAGCCACCATGCCGCCCCAAAAAAGAACACTGCCTAAATAATATTTACTTAAACTTAAAGTCATGATTTATACATGTGCATCTGTTGTTTTTATGCTAAATGAATAAAATATAATTCAATATTATATTCAGTTTTCTTATCTATTTACATTTTATGAAAACACTCTGTATTAGCATAGAGTCATCTTGCTACAACATATTTCCCTTCTTGACTGAATGAGGATTAAGTAATGTTTTTGAATCCCTACCAAATAGACTTACACAACTCATTTACAATTCAGGTTACCAATAAGAGGTGGGCAGCCTGCCTCAAAGGTCTGCAAGGCCTGTAAAGTGTATCATGCCTTTTTTTCCTATTGAAATCTCCTCCCTTCATTTCTGGCTGAAAATATGTATTTTTATCTAGTGCTGGCTGAGCTTTCAGCATATTAATGGCATGGGCTTACATGCCAGAGAAATGATCACATGCAAAAAAAAAAAAATGAGAGGCCTAGAAATTCTAAGCATTTGAAGACAGTGACATAACATACAAGCTGAGTAACATACCAGCTTTGCTTACATTTTTAATGAAATGCACACATACACTGACTGGTGACCTCCTTGTATCTACACTCATTGTCCTTTTTATTAGCACCACTTACTATATAGGTGCACTTGATAGATCTACAATTACATACTGCAGCCCATCTGCCATCTGCATACTTTGTTTACCACCTTTCACCCTGTTCTTCAGGTATTACTTGGGTGGTGGATCATTCTCTCAGCACTGCAGTGACTTGGATGTGTGGTGGTGGAATTTTAGTGTGTTGCGCTGGTACAAGTGGATCAGAAACAGCAGTGCTGCTGGAGTTTTTAAACATCTCAGTGTCACTGCTGGACTGAGAATAGTCCACTAACCAAAAGTATCCAGCCACCAGCATCCTGTGACCACTGATGAAGGACTAGAGGATGACCAACACAAACTGATCTAGTCGTACCTGCGCAACACACACTAACACACCACCACCACCACATCAGTGTCACTGCAGTGCTGAGAATGACCCACCACCCAAATAACACCTGCTCTGTGGGGGTCCTGTGGGAGTCCTGACCACTGAAGGACACGGTAAAAGGGGGCAAACAATGTATGTAGAGAAACAGATGGACTACAGTCTGTAATTGTAGAACTACAAAGTGCTTCGTTATGGTAAGTGCAGCTGATAAAATGGAAAAACAAGGAGGTGGTTTTAATGTTATGGCTGATCGATGTATATTGGTTGGGCAATTTGGCAACATCTTTAAGTATTCAACAGGGAATGATTTAATTTACATTCTTGAATTGAACTATGGATATAAAGTCCTGCATTTAATGGTGCACTTCTACTGTGCTAAAGCAAATACATGCTAAAACACCCCAATAAAAAGCTCTGCTATTAGCAGTGTAAAACCTTGGCATTCTTTTCTTTAGTAAACAGGATCACAGCTCTTATGCTGGTGAGCGGGCATGTTAACAGATATATTCCAACAACAGCAACTGGAACATGACATCATTTCTCCTGCTGTTTGTGTGTTCTGCAACCAACACCCACATTTGTCAGTATTATTTTCCCTCGGCAGCCTGAGCTTAATCTCCCATGGATTTTTGTAGTGGATGATAAATGTAGCATTCCTGGGTTCATGAGGGGTTAACTGTGATCCAAAAGCCTGAGAAGCTTTATAGATTTTCCACTTGAATGCGAGGTCCTCACCAACTGCTGCAAGAGAGAAAAATAACGGCATGCCAGCACTCTGTGTTTGTATACTTAGAAAGGGTGGAAATATAAGATACTGGAATGTGTTGCAAGGTATACATGATAATTAATACTTCATTAAAGACCCAGTCAGGAATCATAATACCTGGAAGGACAATTTTGGTACTGCAAGTACAAAAGTCCAGGACCAGCTGAAGTGCTTCATGGCTTATAAAAAAGTCGTAATATGCATACTTACCATTTCCTCCATAAGTTTAGTGGCAATTCAGAGGTTGAAATCACTCTAGATGACAACACTGGTTTACAGAAGAAGTTCTGAAGCTCCATAAAGTCACTAATGCCAAGAACATTTGCTCCACAACAGGGCCTTGAGATTAAATTTTGCATGAATTTAATAACAAATGTATCCAGGTAACTATGCTATTTTGCAAAACATGCCAAGTTGGTAGATGAAAGTGGGCTGTGCAGCTGCTTGCGTTTGTATCATGGTGGTAAAACCTCTTAAAACCTACACTATATCCATTTTACTGTAGGCTTTAGAATAAGGAAAATTGGAGGTAACGTTGTTGATACGTTTTGGGTGTGTTTCCTAGACAGCCAAAAAACTTAAATAAGCGAAAATGAGGAAAATAATACTTTTAAATCCTCCACTTTTATCACAGTGTTAAGCAACTGTGTACAAACTAAATAGTGTGGTCAAGGAAAGACGCACTAGCTGTCACCATGATGTTGCAATCACATTACCATAAAAAAGCAGCCTCCATGCTGTTAAATGAAACAGACACACGTTTTCTTGTGCAAGTGAAGTCGTCAAACTCTTCTTTGATAAATGATCATGCTTTGTTCAGTTAAATGCTTAAATGGTAAACTTCCACATCCCTTCCTCATATGAGCAGGAAGTTGCAACCAGATGGTATAGCCTGAAGGGGAGAACAGGCTGAAGAGGGAGATTAAGGACAGAAAGCAGAATGAAGGAGAGTGTTCACATTTGTGTTTTACTGTTTTTCATTCAAGTTTAACTGGTTCTGGACCACACGAAACAATAAGACGAACAAAAGACAAACATAGTATTTGAAAACTCTAAGGACTGAGGTCACAAAAACAATACTAATTGTATTCCACTACTGACTTTATCTCTGAATCTTCTGAACTTGGTTTCTAATCTGTGAACTAAATAGCTTTTAATCATACATAAAATAGAATTTCTCTCTTATTTGAGTACTTTGCTAAGAATTCAGCTTCGTCTATATACTATAATTTCTTTTTAACCTATCATTACATATCAAAAACCATTCTAAGGGACAAAGAAAGTTAAGCATGCAATAAAGGGTATAAAAATAAATATTCTTCTAAAGCTCCAACCAAAGTCTAAGCTGGAAACAGCAGTGTTTCAAGTGGGTTTCTTCCTAAGAACGAGATGCACAACAGTAACTGCTGTTGCTTATATATATGCATTATATAAATTCTCAAATCTCTAACTAGAGGTAAATCTATCTAAATATAGAACTCTGTCAGTGAAATTGACATTGTAAACAGATCGAGTCTGTCTGTCAGTCCCTGAGATTGTAAGTCTTTAAAAGTCTCTTGAAAAACTAAAATCAATGCAGATTGCTTTAGGCTTTCCTTTTGAGTTTCCCTCTCCGTTTCACTTTCTTCTTACGTCTCCTCCTCCCTAAATAATTGGAAAGAGCGTTATCATTTTCATCCTCCTCTTCGTCTTCGTCTGAGTACCATGGTCCCCAGACCCCTCCGTTGTACTGAGGATTAGATCGATAGTCCTTGGGTGGGTAGCGGCAAGGCACGGCCGTTTTGTCGTACTGTAGAAGCCTGAGTAGCATCTTCTTCACTATGTGTGGGTAGCGCCTTGAGAGGTCAACACGCTCAAAGGGGTCTGCTGTGATGTTGAAGAGCCAAACGGACTTTCCTCGATCCCAGCGCACACGCTCGTTGTGCCAGCGATTAACTAACAGCAGGGTGGAGAAGGTCTGTGGAGGAATCCAGTCACTGTAACCCGGAATACCTGTCAGAAGCTTCCAGTCTCCGACACGAAGAGCTGCCTGGACGGCCGTGTTCCAGATTCCATAGCCTGCCTTCCTTGAGCCATTCTTTGCTTTGGCGTAAATGGGGTCTATATTGTGGAGAATGTCCTGACGTGGTGAAGGCCGTCCTTCGCTGATGGACTCCCAGACATCATAGCCATCTAGGCTTTGGTCCTCATCCAGGGTACCTTCGGCAAGTGTTACTAGAGTTGGGTACCAATCAGTAATGTGCATCAAGGCCTTGCAACGAGTACCCTTCTTCACCAGTAGAGGGCTGTGCACGAACCCCACTGCCCGTATTCCTCCCTCCCAATAGGTTCCCTTGCTACCCCTTAGTGGCCAGTTGCTGCCCCCTGCCATAGGCTGACCTCCATTGTCCGAAGAGTACACCATGACCATGTTGTTGTAGTAACCGTAGCGCTTAAGTGCAAGAGTTAAATTGCGCACAGCCTCATCTAAGCAGCTGACCATGGCAGCGTACTTGCGGCGATGTAGATTTGGGATAGATTTATAACGCTCCAAATAGCGAGCTGGAACCTGGAGAGGGGAGTGCACTGCCTGGAATGCCAAGTACAGGAAGATTGGCCGTTTGGGATTATGCTTGGCTAGAATACTCACAGCCTTCTGAGTATACATGTGGGTGGAATAGATGCCTCGGTCTTGTTCCCAGGCAGCCTCCTCACCTTCATGCAGGTCATAGCCACACATTCCCGGGCTGTCACATTTGTAATGGCTGTAGTAGTCACCGCTCCCCAGCAGATAGCCAAAGAAGGTATCGAAACCGCGTTGTGTGGGCATGCAGCTACGCTTGTAGAAGCCAAGATGCCACTTGCCCACCATATGAGTGGAATATCCTGCGCTCTTCAGCTTTTGAGCGAGGGTGATGTTCTTTAGGGGTAGGCAGTTGGGCTGGGTGGGGCGGATAATTGAGTGTTGGAGCCCAGTGTGGATCTGGTACCTGCAGAAACAAAAAGGAAATCATGGTTTATATTCAATAATATGAAAATCAATAACAAATATAACCACAAGCGCTGATTAATGAGCAACATCGAGGCAACCTTAGGTCACCACCACCCACTGACCAATTTTTAGTCACTGCTCCTTACTATGCTCACATGGTATGTCTGGGATTTTTCAGGCATTTTGCTGAGAAATGTTAAGGATTTTTTGTAGCTCCTTAGTCATTATGACTTAGGAATTCATTGGCTGTTTGCCGCCAAACTGTTTGGCATAATTCCACCACATCTGGTGTGAAGACAGCTTCTTCTTCCCACTTGAAGCCAGACTGTTTGAACTGAACCAAGTTACATGATCATTAATAGTTCACTGAAAGCTTCCTTTAGTCAAATAGTTTGTCCTAACAACAAACCGGTGACCATTTTTTGTGAGCAGGATCTAGAGATCACTAAGTGCACTCCCTACATGCTTGGGCACCTAATTACTTCTTTTATGATAGCAAATCGCACACATCTGTATCCACACCCACATAGACACAAACACGTATGTGTATGTACAAAACCCAAACGCCAGCTATGTAGTTTAACAAATGAGGGGAAAGGAAATTACACACAGACTCTATTCAGCAAGTCTCTAGTAAATCTGCAGGAACAAGAAATTAGAAAAAGACACACATTAACAGATGCGTACACAAACAACCCACAACCCCATATACCTTTTCACTCTTTTTCTCTCCAGCCTGGTGTTTTTGTCTGTGCTCACTATTGCATGTTTCTCCTTCCTATGATCACATTTAGAGGATATAATAGATTGCCATAAGTATCTATCTTGAACCATAAAGCATGCTACAGTTTACAGTTGATTTGCAATAACAAAATACTGGTTAACTCAAATATATATTACTATTTTGCTTTGTTCATGCTTTTGCTTTCAGTCTTGCCTCGCTCCTTCTAGCAGATTCCATATATAATTAGATCAGCTTTGTGTCTATGATGTGTTCAGTGTTTCTTCGGCAACCTCTCTGACTGGCGGATGTGTTGAAAAGAGAAAGGCCTTTTCCCAATTCCAGGTGACTGTAATGTACACATTCCTGACAAACTCTGCAAGTTTATTTTGCACCTACAAAGGTGTTCTTCAGTAAGCACTTCATGTACTTCTTTAGCAAGCTCACATCAGAGCAGACTTTTTAGAGATATTACCCCTTGCAAATGTTTTGAACAAAAAAACTTTTTGAGGACTTTAGTTTAGTAAACAGTAAAGCTAACTACAGTAAAGCTGAAAGTTTACTAAGGCCAACAGTGACTTTTAATGTCCAAATACACTAACTAGCTACTTTCTGCTCACACTGAAAATACATCTCAAAGAGACCACAAGTGTGGACTGATCAAGGACTTCAACAGTTGAGGCTTCAAATATATTTCCAACATCACAGTGTCCCCACCACGATGCTCAGCCCTAACCCCTCCTGTTTATTAGTTATACCTTATCTATTCTTCTCCACTGATTCTCAGTGGTTTATGGAGATTTTTGGACTTTTTTTCACCATGTATTGTCTCATACATTGAGGGTTTCTGTTGCTTCTTTTCTTTTGTGGAACTATGGCTATGAAGCAGCTCAGTGTATATCTGTCCTTGTATTTTACAGCCCAGCTGCTGAGTTACCTATGGTTTTTGAATGACTTTGCTTTTTATAGAAACCAAATAAAAGTAACTCCACACGTACACACTGTTTTTTAGCCTCATGTGGCATAAAAGATTCCAACAAGACCTAAACAGAACTAAGAGCTAGTCACACTAAACTGAGTAAGGGGACTAAAGTGGATCAAATGAATATAAAATTGGAGATAACCAGTGGAGTCATGGCATCTCCACTCTGACCATAGATATGTCCATCCACAACACTTTGATTTTGGTCATTTTTACAGTGTTGCTTCTTCATGCAGCACTAAAGACCTTTTCACAAAATTCTCATGTGTTGGAGGAGGCAAACTAATAGCTGTCTGCAGACTTTACTCAGCTCACAGGGTTCTCCCACAGCTGGATCTTCAGGCATCTAGATTACATTTGCAATATAGCTGGATACAGAAGTGTCTCTGGATCTGTTTAGACAAAGTACTTTGACCTTTATCTCTCCAGCCTTTTTTCTTTGTCCAAAAGAACTTAATCAAAATGAAATTTAATCAACGCAAAATAATTCAAATAATATTATGCAATAATGACTGGCGGCCTGTCCAGGGTGTATCCTGCCTTCTGCCCAATGACAGCTGGGACAGGCTCCAGCACCCCACCGCGACCCAGAAGGATAAGCGGTTTAGATGATGTATGTATGTATGTATTATGCAATAGTTTGTCCGTCAAACACATTTTTTTGTGTTTTCTCAGTTTTGTGATATTAATATATTATATTAACTGGCTCCTAGCAATTTGGTGCCTTTGCATATCATGGCTATCTTCCTTTACAAAAAATTACTTTTTAGTTTTACATGATCATGCTAGAGTAAAAGTGAACTTTTTTCTAGTTAATGCAGACTGACTCTTCCACTCTTCCAGATCTTAAGCCGTTCCTCACTGCTTGACAGAATTCACAGGTATAACAGTCTTCTCATTTGTAGAATTTGGAGTTTTGAATGTCGAGTTTTTAGACTTGTCTTCACAAGTCTTCACTTACTAGTCATGAAAGTAAAAAATGTCATGAAACTGTCTAGACAAAGCAGTTATTTATGCAGAAGATGATACTGATGATAACAGGAGAAATAGTGTAGTTGTGTTGTTTTTGTGCTCAGGTTAATACAGATTTTCAGAGGGGATGAAAATCTGATGAGTGATGAAATATCATGTTACCAAAAGATTCAAGAGATGTCAACGATTCATGGAAAAGAACATTCATTCTGCCCCAAACTGCTCTTAAGATATATGCTAAAACACTGTGACAGACCTGCCACATATAAAATGATGTCTCTATCAAACATTTTTAAATTTCTTTGATTAAGCTCCCCTCTTTGAAGTTTGCAGACAGAAGACTTTGTTCTGTCTGGAAAGGGTTTCACTGTTTATGCGGTTAGCCGTTTGATTTAATTCCACCTTAGCTCTCAGCCAGGAGACAAAACAATGAGATTAAATTTACATCATCTGCTGCAGATGCTTAACCAAGCCTACAATTACACATTAAACAGAGGTTATTACTCAAAGAAATTATACAGCCAAACATTCAGTACTATGTGGATTAAATTAATCATTACATGAAGGTGAATAGATTACTAGACTGTACAACGGAGTGTGGTATGTTTGAATGTAATGAACCGGTGCTGGTATAACAAAGGATTCACTGTATCAGACACATTGGCATCAGGCAGTCTCAAAATAATTAGAATGGACCTAATCCAACAGCAACTCAACACTATACCACCAGATGTACATGATGACTTTCACTACACTAGGAAGCTAGTTATCTTTGACTCAGCATGACCAAAAACAATATCCTACAGGATGTGGCAGCAGTGGTCACTGAGCAGAGTGCTGAGTTCATGAGGGAAGGGCCTTCCTGAAAAGTACCAAGGCAGTAGACAGCATTGCCACACTCGTAGGTGTAGTTTCCACTGGGGGGCCATGTCCTCTCCACTTTTCTAAATCCAGTTTTGGTCCCCCAACCACTTTCAAAGTTTCCTAGAAGTTGTGGAAGAAACTGCTAGGGAAAGTCTACTAACACTGTCCAGCTGTAGTAATCCGGCTGATAGAATTATAATATTGGTTCACCGATCCATATGAATCAATCTAAAGTAGGTTACATACAGTATGTTTACATACACTTAATAATCCGATAACTGCAGAAAATCATTTTGTCAGTAATCTGATCAACACGTTTATATGTGCTTGAGTAATCAGATAATGGGAAAACTCCGGGTCTAGACGAGTCAGGCAGTAATCGGATTTCTGCTTTGCAACCGGCCAATAAACTCGCAGAAGACGATGTGAGGTAAACGTAATGTAAAACTCAAACTTCATGCCGCTGCTTTTTTTTTAAACATTGTACCATTTTTCCTTGAAATATGAACATATGTTATCTAGAAGATGAAGAATAAAGTGCTTTGCTCCCGTCTCATGGCAACGCTGCTTGTTTATGTCCAGTACAGCAGTCTGTTCCGCACATGCACAGACTGAGAAATCCGAAAGTAATCAGAGTAAGAGTTTACCTGCACTGAGCAATCTGATTACTGAGCTAAAATCCAGCTCCCTTTATCAGATTTCTTAATCGGATTTCTAGATCGGAGTCTTGTATTTACATGGCCATTTGAATAAAGGGATAACTGCAGAAAGGATTACTGAGTGCATGTAAACGCACTCACTGATATATGGATTCATCTTCAGTATATTACACTGACATATGCATTAGTAGCGTACTCTCACTAAGGCAAAGAAATATGTTTTAAACATTCAAAACTGAAGAGCAGAAAAGGAAGAAAAGCAATAAAGCCATGAGAGGATGATCCATACTGTCAGTACAAATTTCAGGAATGACAGTATTTGTATGCTTCAACTTCATAGTGCGCAACCACCCCCCACGCCCCTCCACATAACACTTCTGACACCAAAACCACGCCTTGTCCACACTCACACCAACCGCGAATTAAATGTAATGCTTTACTTTATATAAGAGTGGATTACAAATGGCTTAATAATAAAGAACATAAACAACCAAAAGCAAGTTTAGGTCAGTGTAATAGCCATACAATTAAGAATTCGGAACTTAGTTCACAAATGTCTTCACTAATAGAAAAAACAAAAGCAGTCTTTCAGTGTGCTGGTATCTAAGCTGTCAATGGAACCAGCCCCAAAATTACAACAGCAATTTTACTGCTTTCTTCTGGAACCAACTCAGCAAAGGTACTGGTGCCACTGACTTCACAGTTGTCTGCTTTTCTGAACGCCCAGACAACCAGACTACCCTCATCCTTCGCTCAGTCTCCTTCCCTCCCCTCCCCTCATCTCTCTCTCTCTCTCTCCA